GCCCAAGGAAATGATCACATTCACAGAATTTTCCTGGATCCATAGCGTAGTCTGATTCATATTGGTTAACTTATTTAATTTTGTCACAACGATGTGTTTTTTACATTTGCAAAGATAATTTTACCTCAACAGATCGACTTCACGCACTTTGAAAATTACACTTATGATTAAACTTCGTTATAATTAAAAACATATTTGTCACTGCCATTACAGTTAGACAATCGCACATACCTTCTACGAAACCAAACAGTCTACAATTCCATTCTAAATTAACATTTTAAAAAATTTAAAATTGGTTCAAATTTATAAATTTTCTTATGGACACTCAGGCGCACTTCTAATTCTGCAAGTGCGAATCTCTATCAAATAAAATTCAGTCCGGTTGGTGCCACCATTAGTAAAATATTATTATTATATCAAAAGCATGCTTTTTGATGGTTATCATTAGCCCTTTAGTTGACTTCAGGCTTCACTAGGGAAGGAACATCAAAGTGAAAAAATAGTCAAGAGGGCGGGGGGCGGGGAACAGAAGTGTGTTTCGAAGATGTAAAAGAGACAGACAGAATGGTAGAAAAAATGGTGAGGTAAGTACTGGGGAAGCAGTCGAATATGACATACAGTGGCGTGATGACAGTTTGAAGTGAGAAGTCAACTGCTAGTTAATAGACTTTTTTGCCGTATGAGTATACGTTGCCCATGGTGCACCACGTGGAGGTATGTCTATCGCACACCCCTTAGTAAAATATAGAAAGTGTCACATAATTAATTCTGAAAGGACTGATTGTTTCACTTTCTCAAATTGAAAATATGTTTTGTCATTCGCTAGAGGTGAAACATCTCGGGGGGGGGGAGGGGGGGGACAAATGGACATTTCTGAATTTTGGAGCGTAAAGTGACCATCTGGTCAATAATGTACAACTGGACCCATTCGATCAGATCCTTTTAATCCTCTTCCCTTTGCTATTGGTTGAAATTTCTCTTATTTGATGACATTTCCATCTAGAAATTAAAGTAAAAATGTAATTTCTACGGGTAATAAGTAAAATATTTATTTGTTTATTTCAAATGTCAGGCGTTTTGATAGTTATCATTAGCTCTTTAGTTGACTTCAGACTTCACAGAGAGGAAGGAATATCGAAGGGAAAAAAGTCGAGAGGGAGGGGGAGGGAAGAGAAGAGTGTTTCAAAGATGTAAAAGAGACAGACAGAAATAAATAAATTTTCTGCCTATTTTGTCGAAGGGTCTTCCAAATTGCTAGGAACCCCTCTTCACCCTTTAGAACTATGGACATCCAGTTAAGGTAAAGTTTAAACTCAATGTACTTCATTCACATTTTTTGAAAAATTAAATCACTTAGCAAATTTCAATCTAAACAAGATTTTTACTAGTGATCTGTCAAGCGTCTATCAAGATCAAATCTTCAAATTTAGCTTGACACACTACTATGATTATTTCAATAGTATTTATAACCAATAAATATGTTGCATTCCATCATTCATAGTTGAGTTATTAAAGAAAACATTGTGCTTACTTCAAATTAGATAATAGAAGCAAAAATGAACTGAAATTTGTTAGAAAATGAGGATGAAAGACAGTGATTTGAGTCTTATTTATGAAAATTGACTTATGAATATATTTACTTCATGATAGAGTTTATTTTTTTGAAACAATCTCAATTCGTTCTTGTGGTAATCTTTCCCCTAAAACTTCTCACATCTAGTCCTGACTCAAAAGTCACGATGCATCCTACGCTTTGTATTTTTCTATTCGGATTGCATTTTTCACAATCATCTCTGTAACTCGAATGACTAGGTCCACTTACACAAGGTTAAGCTTTTAAGGATTTGATTTAATTTCTTTGAAACATTTCAATGCATTTGTGCCGTCGGTCATTTTCAATTTATGTAACCAGGGGGTGGGGGTGGGTTGGGGAACACTTTCTTCACACACTAATAAAGGCTTTTTTCCCTCTCATAGTATTTTTCGTCTCTTTATTCAATGCAAATAAATTTCCGAAACTATCTTATTAACTTCCAACTTTTTTGTGCTTTTTTGCTTTCAATAGGAAGTGTGTAATTTGTCTGCTTGCACATTTCAGTTGTTATTGACAAAAAAATTGCAATATGTTCCCGCTCAGAGAGGCTAAATAGAGACACGTTAAAACAAAGTTGATTAGTTAAGCAAATTCTGACTTCAAAAACCCTGATATTCTCTTTGCCTCGATATGTTCTTCCAGTTCAGACTCTAATTACATTCACCGTTGCGTCTCTATTCGCTAATCAAAAATGTTTTCAATTGGAGACAGATTTTGCACTTTCTGCCAATTGTGAGCTATCAGTTTCGTTTTAACACCGCCTATTTTTAAGTAATGTAGAGATAATATTATTTCCAGAATAGTTGATGTCAAGAAGAAGAATGTACTCATTTTTTTCCTATTTAAAATATTTTCATTTCCATCTATTGTTTTCAGGAGATTTTGCGGAATGTTAGTGTCAGTACAACAAACAAAAAAGTAGGAAATTAACTTCAGTATAAAATAGAAATTTGACGTCACTCCATCTGGTGTTAGGTTATTTTTATCGGAAATTCTCAAATACTCAAATTGTTAGCATGTGCTTGCCCTATGATTTAGCGTAGTTCACCGCCTCACGCCAATTAGTCACTCATTTCATAAAATTTTCTCTCCAATAAACAAGTGCTCAGCTAATGCCACTCCTTTTCAATTGATAATACCCTTAAACACATCTAATTGGCATTCATATTGAGGGGGAATTTATAGCAACTTTATATTCTGCCTTCCGTTTTAGCACATCCGTCTGCAAGGCTTCGAGGAAACCGCTGGCTAAGGAAGGAATTCATTGGAAATTGGATAAAGAATGGCTTGGCAGTTGTTTTGAATCCTGCATGTATGTATGAATACCCCCCCCCCCTACCTTGATATTAAACTGATTCACAATATTTATACTCAAGTGGCTTCGCCAATGGGCGTGCACCGAGGCTTCTCAGGCAATCGCGTCGTGGTGTAGTTTTCTATTGTGTAATTACAATAGGCAGCGAAGTCATTCTGAAAGAGTAGTCCTTGACTCGTTGATCAATGTGCGCGGCCCCAATTCGTTTTGAAGAAATTGCCTATAATTATGGATTTATTCCTGCTGAACCTGAAAAAAGTCGTAGTTACTGTCTAGTCTACCGTCTGTTCAAGGAATGTCTTGAAGAAGATCCGCGTGTTGTCCTCGTCAAAGGCAATGAGGATGTTATTCAAATAAAAGATATCCGCGGGTCTTTGGGAGATCGCGAGAAATTCATCGTCTATAGCCAAGACATTATTGACTATTATCCCTTTAATTTGGGCAGCAAAGGTGTCGGATTTCTAATTGAAGCTAAAAAGCGATCAAAGACAGGCTATTGGTTTATCGTCTTTCGACGGGAAGGCCAACTTGCTGCGTTTTGCTCGTTTCTGTATTGGTTGATCAATGGAAAAATTGTTCGAAGTGGAAGATCTCTGTCACCACATAGACAGCCTCCTGATCGAAAATCAACTCCCCCCAGAAGGAGACAACGCAAGCCAAGGCAAGTGTCCTGGCCACGATCTCAAAGGTACTCGATTTACATCGATCAATCCAACTCAGGATACGGAGGAGACGAAGGCCGTCTTGGATCGAAATTAACCCCCTCCCACCCATTTGCCAGATCAAAATCACGATCAAAGGATAGATATCGTCGTTAATACTAACGATCTTGGATTTATATTTGGTAAAGATTAGCTTATTTGTAAGTTCGCCATTCAATTATTGAACTTACACAACTGTGTATCAGTGACCTTTTAGTTCATCTTTTGAATTGATGTTTCGATTCGCCAAATATTTAATATTTTTATAATCAAATTTTGTTATGAAAATCGGGATATACATTATGATGTGCTTTTGAGCTAATCTAATCATTGCAATATATTGAATAATCACCTAATTAGGTTATTGGTGCATTTTACTTACGCACTTAAAAAAGGCTTTATTTTGATTCGAGAGTAGCTAAAATATGCTATTTTTTAAATTCCTGGCATGAAACCAATTGAACTAGGTTATAACCTGTGTATTTCAACTAAATTAAAGTACATGAGTCAAAAATTAATTCTTTAATGAATTCTTTCTATAGAGTGTTTCCTTCCAAAAACTAGAAAATTGAAAAAATAATTGAAAAAAATATTATTTTAAATCTGTATACGTAAAGTAAAAGAGTGAAGTGAAATGAAGTGCATTAGATTAAGCCAAGTTAGCGTTGGCATGTGTGCTGTGTATAATAAATATGGCAAGAATAAAATGCGTCATTGTTAATTGAGATAACATCTGAAAAACCATTTTGAAACGTTTTTAGGGAACTGTTCTCTTTTGTAAAGTATGAGCCTCAAGGCTTTTTGAAATATCTAATGTAGTTATAAGTAATTGAAAAAGACTAAATGCACCAATGAGTCTTACCCCTTTAACCACATATTCTTGAGAAGTGTACTCTGAATCAATTTATCGATTTTTTATGCCTCTTCTTATTACCTTGTAGCGGATTGCTAGACTAGTAAAGCCTGACCGACTCAGAAATCTCTATGGCAGATTTTCCAACATCTAAGACCGACTCAGAAATCTCCATGGCAGATTCTCAAACATCTAGCTACCGGCTCAGAAATTTCTATGGCAGATTCTCCAACATCTAGCTAGGAATCAGAAATCTCTATGGCAGATTCTCCAACCTCTAGCTAGAGAACAGCTAAGCTATAGCTCAGCTATAAAGAAAACAGACGTGTAGCACGGAGCGCGTTTATATCTGTGGCAGATTCTCCTACATCTAGCTAGACTCCCAGAACGGCAGATTCTCCAACGTCTAGCTAGACTCCCAGAACCAGGGAGATTCTCCTACATCTAGCTAGACTCCCAGAACCAGCTAAACCATAGCCCAGCTATAAAGGAAACAGACGAGTAGCACGGAGCGAGTATATTGTGGATAAAGTGCACACGCAGGCATTCAGTACGTATATTGATAGCGAAGTGTTGAGTTGGCAAAGCGATTAGTTATCAGATAACTCTAGCATAATTCGCGTGAATATTAATAGTTAAATATCTCTTAGTAATATTCTATTGCAGGATTTCTATTTGGTCATTGATGGAGTGTCCCACAACCTAGACAACGCATTATGTCTGAGTTATTCTGCAAATTCATTTTCGAGATACCACAATTTATCAATCGATTTATTATATGCAATGAACTTATTTAATGTTCAAATATGCAGACTAGTCCCATTTTCTCCTTCACCTGGGATTTGACTACTTCTATTGAAGCAACTTTTGTCGAAATGTTGAGATGAGATAGAGAAGAAATCAGTAACTGGTGGGATAATTGTAGGAAAATTGTTTGTCTTATTGCATAAGGGAATTACAAAATGTATTACTTAATATTTGGTTCATATAAATGCTTATTAAAGCAAGTACAAGTATTTTGTAGGTGAATTCGTTAAATTTGTACACTAATAAAATTGTACTGTTGAGTTGAGTAATTTGATCAGAAATGGCAATGAATCTACCAATCGCATTGGTCATAGCTTTACGAGATCATTAGAAGATTTTCCTGCAATGACTTCTTTGTATATATTCTACGCTTCCAAAATTTGAGTTTTTCATAAAATCCATTACATCAAAGTCGTTAATATAAATGATCATCTGTTGATGTTTTTAATAATCTAACTTCAATATGAACTCTGAAATTGTTTGTTACGAAAATTTGATGCTCTAATTGATGAAAAAAACAAGTATTAGTTTTAAAGTGCTTTTAATTCATCCTTGAAATTGTTTCATCAGAGGGTTGCATAATGAAACGGCGGTTGTTTCAAAGCACTGATTTTATCGAGGAAAAGTAATGCGCACTTATTAAAAATATGCGGTTCGTGCAGTTAATCGAATAACGTGCAAAGGGCATTTGAACCGACTTAATGAAAATGAGTTGTTTTTTGGGCACAATATTTAGTAATTTCAAGCTATTTTAAATTACTGTGGAGGAGTGAAGAGCACCCTTGTTTATTCCTAGTTGAGGTAAAAAACAAAACAACATGCAATGTCAAAGTTACTACAGCAAATCGAGTGCTCTTTTTTCGACCACCATTCTATACACTACGAAATAAGTAGGACCATTGTAATTCTTTTTGTCAGAGAGGAGTCGTGGTACATCAATCTTCACGCACTGCTCAAGGTAGTAAACGATAGTCTTGAAACATTTGTCAACTGATCTTAATAACCCCATTCGTGTTGAAATGACATAGTTAGGAAATAGAATAAAGGGGAAATATTTTTGATATTGCTATTCATAAACGATTGATAAATAGTATATTTATTTCAAATGGCAGGCATTTTGATAGTTATCATTAGCCCTTTAGTTGACTTCGGGCTTCACAGAGGGGAGGAATATTAAAGTGAGAAAAATTCGACAGGTAAAAAGAAGAGCGATTCACAGATGCAACAGACAGACACAAAGGCAGAGAAAAGGCTAGGTGAGTACTGTGAAAGGGGTCGAATATGACATACAGTGGGGTCATTGTAGTTTGAAGTCAGAGGTCAACTGAGAGCGAATAGACTTTTTTGGCGAATGAGTATACGTTGCCCAGGGTGCACCACGTGGAGGTAAGTCTATCGCACACCTCGACTGATAA